ATTCAGTAGCATCCACAATGTAACCATAGGGGGCTTGAGAGTCTTGTTTAGGGGGAGAACTTTACGGGACAAGTGTTAGTGTATCACTTGTGTTTGCTTCTTCGTGAGGTTGTTCTCTCGGTATTTTGTACTCTCTTTTTATTATAGTGGATTGCTCGTCTCCGTTGTGGACGTATGTCAGTTGACCGAACCACATTATATGTTTGTGTCTCTTTTGGTATTTCTTTTTTGTTGTATAATTTATCGTCGTTCAAGGTTCGCATTTGCTAGCTTCCACATGACACGTGACTTTTTTCGGTCCTAACACAATTGACCACCCGTGATAGGCTGTAGCTTTGCCCTTGTACATTCCTGTTGGGGGTTGCAATGGTACAATCATTTGAAATATGAAACATTTTCATTTAATAACTTAGTAATAGTACCAACTAGCTAAGTACCTGGCTTAATTTTTATCCAGAGAATTCAAAAAATAAAAATAAAAAATAAACGTAAAGAAGTCAGTGAAATTTATCATCTAATATAGATATATATACAAACATAAGAAATTTAATATTATATATACAATATAAGTATTTTTACAAAATTAAAAAATTCTTGGTTAATATTGTGTTTAAAATTAATGAATGCACTAACATGAGTAAAACTAAATATTCTAATTAGTATGACCTATATAGATTTTAAACTCTTTCGTTCTTATCACTAGGATTCACATGAATATCAAGAGATTGTAATCTTTGAAAATATTTTTGTTTTTTACATATGATTTTAGGTCTAACTCGTTCTCTTTTATCATAGTCACCACGTCACACTTACAGACCGATTAAGGGTGGAGCTAGTTTTGTGATTGTGGTCGCGGGTTCGGCCGAACCTAGTAGCTTTAGTTCAATCTCTATATTTGTCTTAAGAAATTTATTGAATATATACAAATTATTAATTTAGAATTCAATTGCTTATACTAATTGAAAAACTGAATACATAAATTTCAGATCCTAGCTTCGCTTTTGAGACCGGAGCAACCAACTATTGAGGACATGATAAAACCATCACAAGAGGTCTTTTATAATTTTATTTTTTATGTGCATTTTGATAATTTTTAATTTAATTTAATCGTGTATGACCTCAATGGATATACATTATTCTTAATATAATATAAATAGTCCATTTATTTCATATAAATATATATAGTTCTTGATTGTGAATGTACGTACACCTACACCTACTGTGTTATATGTTGAATTCCTCTGCCATTGTCTATTGAATTCCTCTGCCATTGTCTATTCTTTACTCTAAAGTCTCTAATAAGGAGAAGGAAGGTGGATTTTATTACCAACGAAGGTTGTGGTGGAGCGGTAAGTATTCTTTTATCCTTAATCAAAGATTTCAGATTCGAATTTTGGATATGAAGTCGTCTTTATCATGGAGCAGTTTACCCTCAATTTGGGACTTCCCGACACGAATTTGAATTTATTCAGGCCTCAATGCGAGTACCGAATATTGGGTGGGAAACCAAAAAAGGAGGTGGATTTTGCTACCAACAAGGGTTGTGGTGAAATGGTAAGTACTCTTTTATCCTTAATTAAAGATCTCTGATTCGAATCCCTATGGAATCGTCTTTATTATGGAATAATTTACCCCCAATTTGGGACTTCTCGACACGATTCGAATTTAATCAGGCTTCAATACCGATAAGGGAACCAAAAAAGGAGGTGCATTTTGTTGACTGATTAAAGACAAGGGACCCAATAACTGAGTTATCAATAACAACATTTGACACACACAATTAGCATTATTAATTGAATTTTGTCATGCTTCATCTGGAGCAGACCAATTTAATCACATTAACATAATTAAATAAACAAATCATATGCTGCTGTTTAAGCTAAAACAGGAAGAATCTTCATATTCTCAACCTCCCAACAAATTAATTTGAAATCTTTCGACCAGCAATTGCACATAGACAGTAGAGGAAGCAGGATTTTTATTAAGGAAATTCAAAAAATTTAAAAAGTAAACACACAAAAAAGTTAAAAAAATTTAACATCTAATATATACACATGAAAAAAATTAATATTATATATACAATAAATTTTCGGCGAATGAGATTCGACTGAACCCCTTTCGCCTATCTAGCTCCGCCCCTGCACATAGGAGTCTAATAAATGTCACATAAAACTCCATCATATAAACAACAACATATCTAATATATGCCCACACAAAGGTGGACCTATGTGTTATAGCGAGGGGTTACCGAATTTCGTAAGTTTCAGCATAAATTTTATATATGCATATGTATATACTTTGAAAATGGTTAATTTAATAAGCACTTGACATCCTCAACATTAAAAGCCTTTAGGGGTACTGGTTGAGCAAATTATTCCCACACGTAGGGTCTGGGAGTATGGTGTACTTAGCTACCTCTATCATGTGTAGGAAGAGAAGTTATTTCCAAAAAACCCTCGGCTGGACCAAACAAAGTCACAGCAGCAAACTCCATAATATAATCAAAAGCATAAACAAAAGGATAAGCTGACACAAGAATCCTATCCTACTTCGAGCAAGTCAAGATTAATTAGTAAACTAATCTCTTTTGTTTAGGCAGATAGCTACCAAATTGTCAGATACTCCTCCAATAGTTTTGTGATAGTGTTGTTGTAGAGAATCTCATACATATATTTTCCTTGTGCTTTTTATTTTTACAGTTTCTAATTTATCTTGTTACCTCTCTTTTTTGTTAAAAAAAACTTTAGTTCATGTTGTAATATACAATGAATAATAATGCAACGATGTCATTCAAATCTTTTTATTTCATATTTTATCCTATATAAAATAAACACATATTCTCACATAACTTATGCGGGTATAATAATGGGGGTAGTTTAAAAGGGCCAACAAAACATTGGGTGTGTTTGGTACGAAGGAAAATATTTTCCGGAAAATATTTTTTAATTTTCCCATGTTTGACTGGCTTAAATGTTTTGAAAAATATTTTCCTTATCAATTCATTTTCCTCCAAGTGGAGGAAAATGTTTCCCTTATCAAGAGAAGGAAAAATATTTTCCAAAGCTCCTTCTCAACCTTCACCACCCTCAACAACCCACCCCACCCCCTCTCCAAAAAAATATTTTTTTTTGGTCAATACTACCCCTCTACCCCCTCCCT